TTATAAATACTTAAACAATTGACCTACTATTCAATCTATATAAAGAGGTAGTAGTCCCTAAGAAATAAGTTAATTTGTATTACTTTATTCCGTTAGAGAAATTTTAAATCAAGAGAAAATTTATCCTCTTGAAAGATCACAACAAAAAAAAAATCAAAGATTGCAATATATCAATTAATTCAAGTTCACTTTCGTATCTAATATTTTATTCTGAATGATTTGACATAATTAAATCCAAATTAGTTTTCATATTTATTATGGCATGATTATAACATTATTCAAAAGAATAACTCAGAAAAAAGAAGATGGCCCACATGAAAGAATGTATATAAAACCTTAATATTGGAAATATGAGTTGGAATATTCTTGCGATTTTTATTTATTTTAGAATCATATCTAAGGTTTACGTTTTGTTTTATTTTAGTATCTCGTCATTAAAAACTTAACGGATTTGATGCACATGATATTTTTATGGGTAAATTACATTATTTATATTTAACTATCTTCTTTCTCCTATTTTGATCATTAAAGTTTAAAAATTTTCAATTTAACTACTCAACTTTCAAATTGCTCATGTTACACTATAATTTATTTTATTAAAAAAATTTATGACATGACATTTTTTATTATTACTTAATTAATATATAATTAAAATAAAAATTAAATTTGAAAGTTATAGCGATTATATTATGAGAAATTTAAAAGTTAAGTAATTAAATTTTAAAAAATTAAACATTTTTACTAAATTTGAATGAAAAGATAATTAAATGATGAATAATATAATTTACTCATACAAAAATGTCACGTTATCAGCTAAGTTTTTAACGGATAACCCTTATAACCATGATATCTATAAACGAATAACCCTACCTTAACCCATGATTATCACTTCACATCCGACATTTATGGGACAGTTACCTCAAGAGCCACCATCAATGGTTGAGCTATCATCGATGCCCGTTCAAGTTGGGATTTGGCAAATGTGATGCACAGCTTTTCATATATTTAAACGGAACATGATTAATTACAATACGTACAGTACTTACGTTTAAGATTTTTGGCATCATATATTAAAATATAATTTAATGAAAAGATGGAGGATTGTTCAAAGTATCAGGGGGTATGCACTTACCGTTAATCGTTTCATAACAATTTGTTGGTATGATTATCGAAGTCTTAGTTCCACATTTTGATGAACTATAATTGTCCCGTTTGAACTGATTATTCTTTTTTATTAATATAAGATATTATTTGTTTTAAAGGTTTTTAACCATTTGATAATGAAAACTTAAATATTCTTACAGTCTCTAATATTCGAATCTAAAACTTTTAGGGATAACAATCATCATTTTAAACATTGAGATAGCTTAATTCGTGCCATTTGAACTGGTTATCGCTGGAGTAATTAATTAATTTATTCGATGCAGTTACTCAATTAACCATGAACCGTTTCATATCTAGTATTATAAATAATATACATATTTTATACTACTAATTTTAATAGTTTTAAAAATATCAACGTAAAAGAATTCAAATAAAATTTTCATTATCTATAATATAAAAACCAACATTACAATAATGATATTTGAAAAGTAAGACTAACCGGAAGGGCCGACTCTTAGGTAGTGTTTGTTTTTACTGTGTAAGGTCTGCAAAACTCTTATGTCTGCGCCGCACAGACCACACGCAGACATTGAGCTTCACAGATCGTTTGTTTTTTAGAAGACAGAACTTCTTCTAACGTCTGCGAGTGGTCTGCGCGGCGCAGACGTGGTCTTATGTCTGCAGACGTCTTCTAACCTCTTCAAAGAGATTTTATATTTAATTTTATATTATATTTGATTTTAATTTTAATGTTAATTTTTTAAATAAATTAAATATTAATTTTTTAATATTATATTATAGATATTAATTTTTTTAAATAAATTAAATATTAATTTTTAATATTATATTATAGATATTTAATTTTATATCATATAAATTATTTTATATATTATTAAAATTTTATATTTACTTTAATTATTTTGATTTAAGTTTAAGTATAATTTTTTTTTTGGATTTGTTATTTTTAAATTATATTTAAACTTTTTATACAAAATGTAAGTATTTGAACCACATTGCTTAATAAAAAATGATTTCATTGTTTGATAATTAAGATTTTAAAATATAAATAATTATAAATTATGTTTTTAAAATTTTAAAATATAATCAAAATTAAATAAAAAATAATCATAAAATAAATTGATAAATTAAAAAATATTTTCTAAAAATATCATATAATTATAAAAATAAATTATGAATATATATTTAAAAATATTAAAAGTATTACATAATTGTATTTTTAAAAAAATAATATAATTTAATGATCATTTATAATTTTTATTCTATAAAACTTATAAAACTAATAATACATGTGATTATGTGAGACTTGTAATAGAATTAATAAGGTGGTGTTTGTTTTTCTAAAAAAATATTATTGTAGTTGTATGAACTATTTAAATTTCAGTATTGTAAAACTAAAATTATTTAAATCTCAGTATTGCAAAACTCTTTTAAGTTAAAAAAATCAGTTTATTTATATTTCAATTTATTTTAGCACTCTGCAGACGTTAAAAAACAAACAGTTTTCTTCTTGCAGACAGCAGACTTTTGGTCCACTTCTTCTGTTGCAGATGCCTGCAGATGTGGTCCGCAGACTGCAGACCTTTTACCTCTGTAAAAACAAACACCACCTTATTTTTCTACGGTAGGCATGTTTGACTACTAATATTAGCCAATTTGATTGATTATCTTACCGTGTTGACCAAAATTTCCAAATTGATTATCTAATGTTTAATTCGATTTTTTTGATATGATAGATCGGTTTGAGTTTTTATGAACAACCTTACAAAGAAGCAATAAAACCTCAATTTGGCAATAAAAATTGTTATGATTTTTTCCTTGATGGTTTTCTAGGTCTCATATGAGCTGGAAGATTTGGTAGTTGGTACCAATAGACGTTTAGTTTCAACCAATTTAAAGGTTGGGAACTCATTGTCAAGAATGTCAATCCAATTTAATTTTATTACCTTATTGGGCCTACCATATCGATCTGGGGCCTTTTAATTCTTCTTAAAGCCGACACAATATTTTTAAAAATAATTTATAATAAAAATGGGTTAGTTTAATCAAACATTTCTGAAAAATACTCAGATCTTAAATTTTTAAATGCTTCATTCCAAATTTAAAAATATTATTTTCATGTCAACTAGTTTTTTTCACCAGTAAAGTGATTAATTCGAATACTAGATTTTTGTTCGAATCTGATATAGTAAATCTTTTAAATAAATTTATTTCAATTATATTAATAGTTTGATTTTGATGTATCACGAGAAAATAATCATATATTATATTTGATAATGTTATTATTTTTATTACGTTAAATCAAAATTATCAATATAGTAATAACGTAATATGTTTTAAATAATTTTAATGTTATATTTGAATTGATACTTAATGGGCATAATAGTAAGTTGATAAAAAGTTTGATTGATGTAATATTAATATTTTAAGATTAAATTGTAATATCTTAAATTTAAGACTTAATTAAGCCTGAATAATATGGATATTGATTGCCAACAAATTATGCTTCTTACCCATTAATATTTTATATGAAATTAAGATAAAAATATTGATTTTGAAAAAATAAATAATTAAGAAATAACAGACCGATTGTGAGTCCAATGGTTGTTTGTTTACTTCAAATGATTAAGCGCTAAATGATTCAAATGGAATGATTCAGAGGTTTTGTATGAATTAGCTCTGAATGTGATATGTTGTTTGATAATGACTCTGAATCATTCCGAATGTACTTCTGTGCTGAATCATTCCGAATGTACTTTTGTGCTGAATCATTCAACACTGTTTTGCTAAATCAGACAACACTAAATTATTCAGAGATACAAACAAATTGAATGTTAATAATTCAACATTCAACGTTGAATAATTTTATTAAGAGACAAACAAACAGCCGAAATCTTTTTGAGGTGGGTAGTCGATATAGATGTGGGGTAGTCCAATCAAATCTCACCGTCAAATTGCCCTTCAGCGAAGCCTTTTAAAACGCAGTCGTTTAAAGACAATATCATAAAACTAGCCTCTGCATACCAACAAATCCCCGTACGTCGTCGTAGAGAATCCAAAACCACACCATTCAAAGTTCTGTGTCCTACTACTTTTGTACCTTTCCGTGTATTTTGAATTTCAAATCCTTTCACTCTCTCTCCCAACACAGTTAGCTCATTTGCCGCTCCCGCAGTTTCTCTCCTTTTCTTTCTCCCAAACTCACAATAAAAAATTAAGATAGCTGCTGCTGCATTAAATAAGGTAAGGATCTTGCACGTGTTTTTGAAATTTCAGTTATAAAAAATTCAGAAACTATTTTAGTTTAAGTTTAGAATAAATAATCTTTTGTTTTGATCTTTTGCTTTAAAGAATTCAAAAAGATCTCGCTTGGCGCTTCTTCTCTTCAGGTAACTTCTTTTGCTTCAATGGAAGAATACAAAGATGAAACTGTTTCCACTCTGTTTTTTTTTTCAGTTTTTTTAGTCGTTCTAAAGAAATAGAATAGACGAGAGCGATTCATTTTACTTTAGGCTTGTACCTACCAGCTGTTTAAATGATTTTAAGACGTTTCTTGAATATGCTGATTTTGGCTCAGGATTTGTAGAAATGATCATGAAACTGTTTACTTCAACATTCCGGTTTAAAGGTTGACTAGAGTGACTTAATCAGATATCTTCATCTTAACGGAAAAGGAAAAATATTGGCCTATTTGAGCGGTACGGGTTTGTTTGTTCTTTTTTGTGGATATTTGTTATGGATACATAAGCTTTTCTGCTGTAAGTTACTTTATTAACTGAATTGTTAGGGTGGTTAGCTCCGCTTTCGGTTTTCATCTTTTTTCGTTGAAGAGTCCGTTTTATCTCCTGTTTTAATGTTAGTGTTGTTTGCAGTTAAACTGGAAACTAATATACTTGTTGAAATGACAGTTTGAAAGCTCGTTGACTTCGAATCAAGAGGAGCGCAAAATCCTTCAACATGGAGCAATATGAAATTCTGGAGCAGGTTGGGAAAGGATCTTTTGGTTCTGCTCTTCTTGTGAGGCATAAACATGAAAAGAAGAAGTGAGTTTACTTGTAACCTCTGTTTCGCTCCCTCTTGTTCAAATTCCATTGCTCACATATACTTGTCCATGCGCTTTTTGCATGTGAGTAAATGCACTTCTTAAATTGCACTATATTAGTTACACTCGGCTGTTTTTATATTTTTACCTACATTCTTCTTTTCTTTCCAGGTATGTCCTGAAAAAGATTCGCCTTGCTCGCCAGACTGATAGGATCCGTAGATCTGCCCATCAAGAGGTTAATTCTTTTAGGTGTAATCCTTTTATTCGTCTTACGACGATGTTAATAATTTTTCATCTGACATTTGGCTATACGAAAAGGTAGTATACTTGCCACGTGTTTCTTCCAATTTGGATAAATTATTAAGATTGTGAGAAATTGGAAGAAACTGTCTTTATAAATATACTTGATTAGTTGTATATTAAATTATATTTGTATTCCCCCTGCTTAAATGATTGGCATCTTTTATACTCAAAATTTGAGCTCCATTGTTAAAAGAGTAGTTCGTTGTTTTAAAAATCTCTTTTGGTTCCTATGATGCAGATGGAACTGATTTCTAAGGTAAAGTGTCCGTTTATTGTGGAGTACAAAGATTCTTGGGTAGAGAAGGTAAGTAGATAGTGTTTCCTTTTCATGCTTCACTGTTCAAAGAGATACTGATGCATTTTTGTTTCATTTTTTTTCATGCTTTTTTTTGTTTCATTTTTTTCATGCTTTGTTTCCTCTGTCAAAGCAGTACGATCGCACATCACTATATTCATTAAAGATTAATTTTTCCACCGACTGTCGTTGCTTATTTTGTTTTGCAGGGTTGCTATGTTTGCATAATCATAGGATACTGCGAAGGAGGAGACATGTAAGTTGTGGTTATTATTTAATTGGGTATTTTTAGATTTTTTGGAAAATGGCATGATCTGTTTTGCAGTATCTTCTCACTTCTTCACATTGACACTGCTCATTATACAGGGCCGAGGCTATAAAAAGAGTCAATGGTGTGCATTTCTCTGAGGAGGTAGTAAAACTTATGGCCTCCTTTGCTAGGACTTGGCTATATATAATCTTTAAATTGCCCGTTCTGTTTTTACATCTAATAAATTATACAACAGAAACTCTGCAAGTGGCTAGCTCAACTCCTAGTGGCACTTGATTACTTGCATGCCAACCATATTCTTCATCGTGATGTCAAGGTCAGTGATACTTCTTGCTGAAGATTGGTCAGTTTAATGCATACAAATATATTTTTAACAAATGGTTGTTTGTTTCAGTGCTCAAATATATTTTTGACAAGAGACCAAGACATACGGCTAGGTAAAAATGCCTATTTTTGTGATTTACCTTTTTTTTTACCATGTGCCACTCTCACCTCTGTCTCTAGCGCTGTGTATTTTACGCGTAGCGAGTTTCTAAGACGTTCACCTATGCAGGTGATTTTGGTCTTGCTAAAATGTTGACATCTGATGACCTTGCTTCATCTGTGAGTATCAGACATACGGTATATTTTTCATACAGTTTTACCATTGTTTTATTTTAATATTATTATTATTTTTTGCTCTACATGCAGGTTGTGGGAACTCCTAGTTATATGTGCCCCGAGCTACTTGCTGACATACCTTATGGTTCTAAGTCAGATATTTGGTCCTTGGGTAATTTGCGCTATAAACTTTTCGGAACGTCTCTATTGCTTGCCGTTATCTTCTCTTCTCCTTGCCTCTATTCAGAATTTATCTAATGTTGTTTTCAGGATGCTGCCTGTATGAAATGACAGCTCACAAACCTGCATTTAAAGCTTTTGTAAGTTGCTCTTCTATTTGTTAAGAAATTTAATTTTTGCCACTTCTTGGCATGTCAAATGTCTAGAATTTGGTGAACTGGTCGTCACAAACTATTCTTTCATTCAATTGTTCTCGAGGAACTAAAAAATGTGCATCTAGTTATCGAGTACTATGACGTTTGGCATTATTGTTCATTCCTATGCTGATCTTACAAGGATTCGGTTGTTTGAAGTTCAAAATCCTACTTAAATTGTAAGATAATAGAATCGCATTTATAAATGGTTATTTGATATGCTACTTTTAGGATAAGGAATGATTACATATCCATGGATGTTACTTATCCCTGTTAGTGTCTTCCATCCTTTTGCCTTTTTTTAATCCTTACAGCTAACTTCTGTCTATATCTTCATGTAAGGATATCCGGGCTCTCATTAACAAAATAAATAGGTCTATGGTGGCTCCTTTACCAACCATGTACTCCAGTGCATTGTGAGTCTCCTATCCTCTTTATGCAAATCAATGTTGCATTCCAAATGCCATTTCACATTTTGAAAATATTTTGGTATCTCATAACATTGCAAAAATATTACTGATCATTATGATTCTCTATTACTGCATTCTGCCGTTATTATCAACATCGTTTTCTTGTCTAATTCCTTTCCCTTGCTTCAGTCGAGGACTCATAAAAAGCATGTTACGGAAAAATCCAGAACTTAGACCAAGTGTATGTTTCTTTTTCCTTCTTGTTTGTCTTATACCTCCTTCAAAGAAGCACAATGATACATCTACAAGGCCAATAGAATGTAACATTAAAATAAAAGGGGTAGTGCCTGGATTTGTTGCTAGTATTTTACTTTTGACTGTTGGTCAAGTTATCAATAATTGAGATTAGGCTGACATATATTTGCTTTCGAAATGTTAGTGATATTGACCCATTCCTTAGTTATTTGCGTGTATATCCCTTGAATCAAAAATATCTTTAAAGAACATTTGGTATTCTCTTAAAACTTTGAACTTGTGGCCTCACAGTTGAGATGTAATAGAGTCCAAATTTCGAAAAAAGAAAAATAAGTGCCAGGCAACATGTTATTTATTTCAGACATCTTTTTTGGGTACATTAGCTTTCTCGATTCAATTATAGTGGTGCCTAACTTATACACTTCAACTCATTTTTCCTATAAACTAAAGCGACTCATGAATGGAAATGCATTCAGGCTTCAGAGTTGCTCGCTCACCCACATCTTCAGCCGCATGTCCTCGAAATTCATCAGAAATTGAATGGCCCTAGGTGCAACATCTTCTCCGCTGGGTGGCCTGATTCCTGCTTCATGAAGAAAAATAGATTTGTGGAGCAACATAGTACGGGTCTAAGTGACATCGGCAGAAGGCGGTCATTCAGCAATGATAGGGCTTTGAACCCTAGCGTATCTGAAACCGAACATGACTCCTTACCTACTATTCGAAGAGAGCAAGATATTTCAAGTTTTTTGTTCGAAAAATTCACAGAATTTTCTGCTGGTATTGATAATGAAGAGATTACAACTAACAGGTCAACAGCCACAAAGTTTCCCACTGCTGCTAAGATCCAAAGATTGACACTAGCTCCAGCAGTGTCCGTCACTCCAAGGAAGCATATAATACAAGCAAAGGTATCCAAGACCGGGAAAAAACATGATTTGGTAAGTCACATATTTATCTCTACCAGTGTTAAATAGAGGATTGATATTAATTTCTTTGGTGCATTGTGGGGGGAACATGAAAATATCATCTCTTAAGTGCCCTAATTTTTCTTTTTGATCAGTCCTTGAACGACCTCAGTTTTTAGTTGTAGTGGGATTTTCTTAATCATGCCTGCTTAAAATCTAGTAAGAGTTTTCTCAACTGAGAAACCATGAACTTTAGGTTGAAAATCCTGACCATTTTCCTTTGTGTTGGTTATGGAAAATTTCTTGAACTGAGAACGATAATCATTTTATGAATTCAAGGCATATTAGCGTATTTGTACAGATGTACTTAGCCTGTTAATATGTGCAGGTTCCAGTGTCACGCACGCCACCAAGTAGATCATCCTACTCCTCGCGCAGAGTATCCCTTCCATTGCCAACAAAGACTGCAGCCTTGGTGACACCCTATAGAGCCAATGTCGGTTCACTTCCCGGCATGAACTCCCCAGATGTATCTGTCAATGCCCCACGAATTGACAAAATTGCAGAGTTCCCTTTAGCATCTTCCAATGATCCGGTTTTACCTATGCACGGAACCTCATCTACATCAGCGAAGTGCTCTTATTCATCGATCGACAGTGCTGACCGTTCTATAACAAAGGACAAATGTACAGTTCAGATTCTGGACAAAGTTGTCACCACATCAAGTGTCAGCGATCAACGCCTTGAAGTCGGCTTGGAGCATAACTGTGCTGTTGTATTAACCCATTCATCTTCTGACTCGCAGCGGCGGCGGTTTGACACTTCATCGTACCAGCAGCGAGCGGAGGCATTGGAAGGGCTGCTTGAGTTCAGTGCAAGGCTCTTGCAACAACAAAAGTATGACGAGCTTGGGGTATTGTTGAAACCATTTGGACCAGAGAAAGTGTCTCCCAGGGAAACTGCCATCTGGTTGGCTAAGAGCTTTAAGGAGACTCAAGTCTAAAGACGAAAAAAATGAATGCTTAGCCAATATTACCACTTGTACATAATTGACGTTGCCCCTTTTCCTCGTTTCAAAATTAGAAGTAAAATTAGGATAGGTCTTCTACTCGAAGACAGCACCGGTGGATTCCTGATATGGATTTGGAACTTTGCATCAACCCCTCAAGTTGTTTAATGTTTGAAATACCCAATTTCTGGAAAAAGATTGGAAATCTTCGATAATCAGTCCCTTGATTCCCATGGAAAGAAAAAACGAAGAATTAAAACCATGCATGCTAATATCATCCTCTTCAAATCATCATTTGATGTTGAGCTTTGATTGTTGACATAGCCGCAAAGTGGCAGCGTTGACATAGAATTCAAATTTTGGTAACATCATTCCATTCTTCAAATTTAATCTTAAAAAATATGTTTTATGCATTTTTGGGTAATAGTTAATAAACTATATTAAAATTATTTTTTGGTTATTAAAGTTTTAAAAGTTATAAAATGATCATTAATTTTGTATCACTATTCTATAACATATATTGGTAAATTTAACGAACATTTCGTAACCTTTAAATTTTAATATGAAAAAAATTATTTCAGCATAGTTTAATGACTATTTAAATACTTTATCTTACATTTTTTGAGCTACTCTTCAATCACCAAAATCCTTAGAGTCCTTATTACACTTTTCACATGAGAGAATATATTATGTGCTTAAGGTCACTTGAACTTGCAATCTTCAGAGAATCAAAATATCGGATCTTGGAAATAATTGGGATTTTAGATTGCTAATGCATTAGAAATCTTAGAATGCCTTTGTTATATATATTTTGGGATTTCAGATGTGGTTCTTGAGGTATGCAAGAACATGCCAGCATGGCCAGGGAGGCTCCTATTCTATAGCGGAAAGCAGCATCGGTATTTCGGTTTGAAGACTGAAACAAGAGGAATTATAGAGTTCGAGTGCAGAAGCGAGAGAGAATATAATATTTGGACTCAAGGTGTCTTAATGCTTCTTTCGATCGTTGCTGAAACTGGAAGGAAGCACCGAAGACAATGTTCAACTACATGACCTCCTCGTGATCAAAATTTGGACTTAGATTAGCTCATCTGCCTTACTTTAATCTTGTGTGCTTCTTGTGGCTCGATGTAAAGCATGAATTTGATACTTTCAGGCCTAGACAAAGATCTTAGCCCATTGTGCATACCGAACATTTCGTGTCGGTGCGATTAAAATGCTGTCTCTGATTCATTTTTGTATGGTGAAAGGGTGAACTAGTACTTTAATTCTTCTATCAGACCTCAAACGTGTGTAAGATTAGGATATTTGTTTGCTTTCTATGTATATTTTGCTTAATCCGTTGTTACTCACTTTTAAGTCGAATTAAGACACCCAACAGGGTGTTGGAAAAATATACTGCTGCAAAACGAGGCGTTAGCATTGACTAGAAAATATTAAATAAAATAATCAATCAGAATGATAACCGTGTCGTGGTAATCCACTGTCTTAGAAGCAAATTTGTCATGATGTGTAATCGCTACAATGGACGAACACCCCCTGAGGTTAGCACGACTATCCAAGAATTCGTACACTTGAAAACTGGAGTGAACTTGGATGATATTGCTCTTCTCTCAACTCAAACAAACACTCTATAGAGGAAGAGTGTTTTAAAACAAATGTTTGAAAACAGGCAGCAATACTACTAAAAGATCAGATCAGAAGTAAATTGACAAAGTATGTACTTGATTATGTATAGAGTGTTGGTATGTAATAAGTGTTAATTACGAATACTCTGATCGATTTTGTATTTTATGGTCTTATGTAAATTAATGTATTTCGTTTTAATGAAAGTTTTAAAAATTCCCGGGATTTTCTGTAAGAGTCAAAGATTTGAAAAGTCAATGTGACACCTCGGACTTGTATTCGGGTCGGATATGAGTTAAGGGTGTTACATTTAATGGTATCAGAGCTACGGTTTAGTCGATTCTCGGCATAAACTGAAGTCTAGAGTGTCTTATAAGGTATACATGCCAACAAATAGTGGAAACTTCTGATCTGATAGAATAGTAGGTATGTTGTTTTGCTAATAGAACTATATGGTTGTATTTTTATAGATGTCCGGACAGGGTAGATCTAGAAATGAAGCGGGAGACGATAGACCCGCTGAAAGCAGTAATTCACCTGCCCCGGCCAGGCAGAGTGAAGAACAGACATCCTCTGGAATGCCTGTCAATGATCAAGATATATTCTTTAGAACGTTAGACGGGATATTGACGCGTTTCCAACCTCCTGTTATTTCAACTCCAAAAATAAATGTTGCGAAAGAGTTGAAGGGATTGGGAGCTTCAGAGTTTAAAGGGGAAGCTAATGAAGGTCCTGTTACTGCGGACCTTTGGCTTAATGACGTGAAGGTCATGCTTACGGGACTTCATTGTTCTGATGCTGATAAGCTAGATGGAGTAATTTCCTTGTTGAGAGGACAAGCAAGGATCTGGTGGACTAATGTTACATTGAGGATGACTAACGCCCAAGTAACTTGGTCATTGTTTTAGAAGAATTCAAAATAAGTACATCGGAGATCAATTTGTTCGTCAAATGAAGCAAGAGTTCATGGATCTGAAACAATGGAATCACACTGTATATGAGTACGAGTGTGAATTCAATAAGTTGAGTCGTTTTGCTGCCGAGCTTGTTCCTACTGAGAAGGATGCTTGTGAGTGGTTCGTAGAGGGATTACGTCCTCGGTTGAAGGAGATGTTGATTGTATTGAATCTATCCTCATTTCAAGAGGTAGTCAATCGTGCCAAAGCTTTGGAAAGAGCTCAGAATGAGAGATTTGAAAATTCAAGGACTCAAACAGTCAAGAGAGCAGGTGCTTCTTTGAGTTCCGCACCATCAAAAAGAGGTAGAGATGCTGGTTCTCGACCTCAAGTTAAATCGGAGTCAGTGGTATCCTCAGCTAGGGGATCAAATCCGATGAGAGGCAAACAAACTCAATCAGCAGGATCGGGAGCTGGGAGAACTAATCAGAGTCAAGCCAGACAATGTCCGCATTGTGGAAAGAATCATTCAGGGGTATGCCGGAGGATTTCTGGAGTCTGCTTTAGATGTGGAGAAGCCGGACACTTCGTTCGAGACTGTCCAATGTCAACTAGTGAACCTGTACAGCCTGAGAGGTCTGTTTCTGTAACCCAGAGGGGAAGAGGTAGAGGCAGAGGAAGAAGTCAGTCAGAGTCCTCTGCTCAACAAGAGATACACTCCACTGCTCGGGTGTACAACCTCAAGACCAATGATGATTGTGATGACCCAGATATTATAACAGGTACCTTTCTATTGTTTGACAAAGGTGTTATTGTATTGATTGATCCCGGGTCTACATATTCATACATTACTAGTAAGTTAGTGAAAGAATTGAACATTCCGTTAGAAATTACTAGCAAGGAGGTGATAGTGACGAATCCATTAGGGCACAATGCCCGAGTAAATATGGTGAGCCGAGGGTGTCCCATACGGATTCAGGGAATTGAATTCCCTGCTAATCTGATGGAATTACCTTTTGATGAATTCGAAGTGATATTGGGTATGGATTGGTTATATCGTTATTATGCTGATGTCGATTGTAGATTGAAAAGAGTGACGTTGAGAAGTTCCAAAGGAGTAGAAATTATTGTATTTAGTGAAAGATGGAATCCGTTAGCAAATGTGATTTCAGTGATGATTGCAAAGAAGTTACTGCTACAGGGATGTCAAGGGTTTATTGCTAATGTACTGGAAGTTAGAACCAAGGAGAAAGGGATTCAAGGGATTCCTATAGTCAGGGAGTTTCTCGATGTATTTCCTGCAGAGTTTCCAGGTTTACCTCCTGACCGAGAAGTAGAATTTCAGATTGAGATAATACCGGGAACAGCGTCCATTGCAATGGCACCATACAGAATGGCTCCAAAAGAATTGCAAGAATTAAAGATTCAATTAAAGGGGCTATTGGACAAAGGGTTTATTAGACCAAGTGTATCACCTTGGGGAGCTCCAGTTTTATTTGTTAAGAAGAAAGATGGATCCATGCGTCTTTGTATCGATTACAGACAACTCAATAAAGTAACCATCAAGAACAAGTATCCACTTCCCCGAATCGACGATTTATTTGATCAATTAAAGGAGGCTTCAGTGTTCTCAAAAATTGATTTACGTTCGGGTTATCATCAATTAAAGATTCAAGAAAAAGACATTTCAAAAACGGCTTTTAGAACAAGATATGGTCACTATGAATTTATCGTGATGCCGTTTGGAGTTACGAATGCACCAGCTGCTTTTATGGATTTAATGAACAGAATTTTCCAACCGTATTTGGATCAGTTTGCTGTGGTGTTCATTGATGATATTTTAATATATTCAAAGTCAGAGGAAGAGCATAGTTCACATTTGAGGATTGTCTTACAGATATTACGAGATAAAAAGCTTTATGCTAAATTTTCTAAATGTGAATTCTGGTTGAATGAAGTGGCATTCCTTGGACATGTAATTTCGGCAGAAGGAGTTCGAGTGGATCCCCAAAAGATTAAAGCTATTCTGGAGTGGGAAGTTCCAAAGAATATATCGGAAGTTAGAAGTTTTCTGGTTAGCTGGTTATTATAGAAGGTTTGTTAAAAACTTTTCGATTATAGCATTACCCCTGACTAAACTATTGAAAAAGGAAATAAAATTTGTTTGGACTCGAGAATGTCAAGAGAGTTTTGAAAAGTTAAAGAAGATTCTTACAGAAGCTCCAGTGTTAGTTCAACCTGAGTCTGGCAAGGATTTTGTAGTGTATAGTGATGCGTATCATAATGGCTTGGGATGCGTGTTAATGCAAGAAGGCAAGGTGGTGGCTTACGCTTCGAGGCAATTAAAACCTCATGAGAAGAATTATCCGACACACGATTTGGAGATGGCTGCAGTAGTGTTCGCTCTAAAAATATGGCGTTTACTACTTGTATGGTGAAAAGTGCTACTTGTATACGGATCACAAGAGTTTAAAGTACTTGATGACTCAGAAAGAGTTGAATCTGAGACAAAGAAGGTGGGTGGAATTTCTCAAAGATTATGATGTGGTGATTGATTTCCATCCTGGAAAGGCAAATGTGGTAGCTGATGCCTTGAGTCGAAAGACGTTTGCAGCTTTGTGAGCTCTTGATGCTAGATTATCGTTAAGAGGAGATGG